AAATCAGGGACAAATGGGGAAACCAGTCACTTGGCAAGCAAGCATTCTTTATGAATCAGTGACTCTTCCTGTAGGAGTTTGGAATGGTGATTCCTTGCTTCTCAATCCATACCTAATTCCTAAGGATTATACTTAAGAGTGTGGCTGCATTTCCTTTACTTCTATTTTGAGATCTGGCCCAGAGTAAGAGGTGTGTGGCTTCTCCAAAGTCACTAGAAATCTGGTCCTCTATGCCAGCTAATTTGAGTGCCTAGCTCTGTCTGACTGCCTGTAATAATTCTAACTAGCTCAGCTGGCTGTAACATGTTGACAGACATGTGCTACCTTGTTAGATATATTGTTGTGCCTCTACTTTGGTGTAGAGCACTGGGTCTACTTCTGTGGTTCACACTGTCCTAAACTCTCAGAGTCTCATGCATCATCTTCTGTAGTTCTGGGGTTTCAGGCATGCACTAGTATGCCTGGATTAGTGTTTTAATTTTTATGTCATCACATTTCACTAAGGTTTCAGTGTTGGGGTAAAGTAAACAACACTGTGCCATGGAGGTTTACAGATATAATACCAGCCACTTGGGAGAGTTACAGTGATTATAAACCAAGGCCACCCTGGATAAGTGATCGAGAATTTTTTCCATAAGAGATGTACATTGTTGTTTTATGTCCACACCAGATTATCTTTTCTACAGTCCATGTGGCCCTTAGATATTGAAGAGAAAATGTTTGTGGATTAAACTTATATTGAACTTTTATGTTGATGCATAGTTTCTACTATTGATACATGGCACAATGCAAAGCTTACCTGCTCATGTCAGGAGACATCCAGATAACTGTGTGGTCTCCACAAAAGGACACCATGGGAGAACAATGAATGATTCAAAGTGTCCTGCATTCAGTAAGGTACATATGATATTTAGTGTTGTGTTATAAATTTGTATTTCTTTTATATCTGAAATAAAGATCAAGGCATTCATTTTCTGCATGTTGAAAAAATCTGATGTTTAGTGATGCTGTTTGGCATTTCACGTTTGTTCTTTTGCTTATTCAATGCATTTTGTCATCAGTTACATTTAGGTTGATATAGTCATTTTCCAGTTGAGACTCAAATATCACTTTTATGTCATTCCTTCCAAGTATTCATATTGTCCTCTGTACATGTGTATATATTGTCTTCATATTGTCCTCTGTCCCACTTGCTTCCAATTTGGAGAGCTGTATTCATCTGTTTCTCCTGAAAAGCTCTATGAGGAGAGCAGTGCAATGCTTTTTGTCAATGCATACACTACTGTGGGTGTTTTGTGTCTTTTTTCCCCTGGATTATTATTATTATTATTCTATGGAGGTAGTCCAATCTGGTCATATTTCTTGACATGTATCACCTGTCAAGAAGATTAAATGGAAATTTTAAATTGGCACAACTGAGCTGATGGTTAGACATTAGGGTTAGGTTAGACATAACAAGTATTTCTATATTATATCTTTTAATGACATCTCTGTAACAAAGCTTCAGGTTTATAATTTCAGTTCAGTAGTGTTATTCAGCCTCCGAAGGATTCAAACTTCTGGCAGTTTCAGCTTTTTAAAGGGAGAGGAGTTTCTAAGGATCCTAGGACTTACTAGAGTACAGATTACATACATAGTTGTGTGAGCACACAGAAAGAGTTCCAAATGGTGAATGGTGCATAAAAATTACTAGGCAGGGCACCTAGGCCTATACCCAAGTAGAGTGGAGAAGGAGATTATGCACAGGAAAAATGGACAATTCACATTGGATATTTTGTGATTAGTTTTCCCTTTTAAAAAATGAAATTTGGGATTATTTGATTTTTTCATGATACAAATTATTGCTTTAATTCCATGAGTATAATGTAGTACACTTGAATATGACAAGGAAGATTATGTCTCATGTACAGATAATTTTGTGAATCTTTTCCTTCTGAGGAAATGACTCTGGTAGCTGTAGGATTTTTTTTTTTGGTAAAATGTATTCTTTTTCTCCTGTGAAGTTTTAAGGGAATCAGAAAATAATTACTACATATGAAGAATATCTGTGAAAGGAATTCTTAGCCAATGAAGATTAATGTTTTGTGATGACTATTTGGGGTGCATCTCATAATGTGTATGAATATCCCATTCTGTTTTTAAAGCTATGAACTTCTTTGTGCATAACTGGTTTATATAACATGGGAAATAACTCACTTTGTTTGTGCTTGAAAACCACCAGTATGTCCTGGGTATGATATTAAAGGGAAAATAAGTCTCTTATTTTTTGAGCATGAGCACAGATGTTTGCCATTGCCTTAGGACATTGGCCTCAGGTTTGCTCATGTTCTCAAAATAAAATCTTCAACCTGCCAGTGGGGATTCTTCAGCAGAGACCGAGATTGGGAAGCAGGGGCCATGCACCAGATGTAATCTCATAGATCATGATTCCTCACCATATGAAACTATATCCAGACATGTCTTTCCTAATAACCTTGGAGTCATCAAACTTACAAAACATGACAGTAGAAATCTAAGCATCAGCAGTTTCAAGTTGAGTACATTACTTTGGAAAAATTACTAAGCCACAAGAAATTAACTTTCAACCATTGAGAAGGAAAGGGATATTATGGTAAATTTACTATGCTATGTTCTTGCCTCATAACAAGGAAAGAATTGAGGGTGAGGCTATGTGTAGCTCTCATTATGCTTCCTGCTAGGGTTAGTTTTCATAAGTCTGGAATCCTTTGTGATGGAGGGTAAAGTCAGGTGACATTGATCAATATTTTATCACAGCCATAGGAAGTGGCAGAGACATCTAACTATGCTAAATAAAATGAAAGTTAAAATATGAAATCTTAAAAACACAGATTGTGTCCTACACATTAAGCTTCATTGGAATGATGGTTATTTCCAGAACTAATGAACACACCCTCATAATTAAAAGTCATTTTAGGATGTTTAAAAATCACATAATGGTTTTTTATAAAGTTTAACATAATCAAATTTTAACATACATTTTAGCATTGGTTATTATGAAAGTAATTGTTAGGACCCTTGCCAGGCCTGTGTAAACTACTCTCTTATATCTAGAGTAATGTGATAAATGAGTAAACTATTGAACACATTAGCTTCTACAGTTCATAGTGCTAAAAGCTGGATGTATGATAAGAATTTAAATAATGGAATGTTAAATAATGCTGAAAAGCACTAGTTGCAAAGGGGTTTAAACTTGTGCCTGTTAAACCCACATATTGGTCTCTTTGAAGTAGGGAATTCACATGTACATGCAATTTTTTTAAACTGAGAATCAAACTCAAAATCTCACATTTCAAGGCAGGTACTGTGCTGTTGAGCTATATCCCTGGCCTTGTAAAATAATTTTTTGCTCTGAGTGCAGAGGGGAGAAGCACCATTGATCATGTAATTATTATAATCCATTGATAGTTACTGGAATTTGTTTAAAAAGTCATGCTAAGTGATGCACTTTGTGCTTTTTATAGCAGTTTCATAAATGGTTTTCAGATTTTTGAAATTATGTCAATGTGAATTGTACTTGGTACAATACTCATAATTTGCAATCCACTTGTTTATATATGATACATATTTACATGGCACACAAAAGTAACTAATACAAAAAGAATAGTGTGTATTCTCAGGCATCATAGCACAAAGTGTTTTCTAGACTTTAGAAAAAAGTCTGTGGAATTTCATAACCTTATAAGTAAAGGAGTTTGTGGAATTCAGGAGCTGAGTGTTGAGTTAATGAATTATTTTGTTCTTCCACACTTCAGTACTGTTTGGTGATTTTTACAAATGAGATTTACATTTTTTTTTCTATTCACTATTTCTCCTGAGTCAAATAACTTTTTGATATTTATAGACTTGTCCTCACTGATCTTAACTCTATAAGTAAAATCTTTGTATTGTGTTCCCAATCAGTGTTTTCTTGACTAATCCCCATCTTCATAGATTTCAATTTCTTTTCATTTTCTTTGCTGCTTGATTTTCTTCTGAGGAAACTGTGTCATTAACTGAGTGTTTTTTAGTGTAAATTATACAATCATTCCTTTTTCTCTATCCCATTTCAGTGTTCTCCAATGCACATATGTAAGGAGAGTGTACAGTCTAGATGTATAAGGATATGCCTGTCTGTCTCTGAATGTAAATGAAACACATTGTGCTTTATTCCTGAGACACATAGCATTGGCTCAATCATGAAACAATGTTCTACTTGAATTGAAGGTTCTCTTCCTTTCCTGCAACCCATTTGTCATTCTCCGTGAATCTTTCACAGATGTTAATGTTGAAATTTGAACATTTCCCATATTTATAATGCAAAATATATCCTTGCTTCCAAGTATTGAAATTTTGTAGGCTTTTTTTTTTGTAACTTTCACCTATCATCAAAGGCACATTTAGTTTGTTTCTTTTTGGTGTTATAAATTGATCTCAGGACCTTACATGTGTCACCCAGATGTTTGTACCACCAAGATATAGTCCTGGAACAAAGATGTAATTGGTAAATTGCTATAAATTAATTTTAATGTTCATTCGTGAAGGAGTTTGATGAATGGCCTCACTTTGAACTGGCCTTATTCCATAGACCAGCCTGGACACTGTGCACAGGGCAATCCTGAAATTCCTTGTAATCCTCTTATATCAGCCTCTCAAGTGCTGGGGTAACAGACTTGTACTACAAAAATGGGCTGAATCTCTACCTTTTGTATTTAGTAACCAGTTACCTTGTTATACCTCAATTTTCATTGTATTTTAAATATTTCATATATATTCTTTTCCACATTAACTTTTTTTACTCCCTAATAGAACTTCTAGTATTCAAGTAAAAAGATACAATTTGGTATCTGTGAACTATAGGTTTATAATTACAATTTATAAATTCCTTGTCCATAGAATGCTCAAATAAACCTTAATTTTCATTTATATTTTAGTAATTCATAACCTTCCTTTTATATTCTACTAAATATTTATGTGTGAAACCAGTTTCAAGAGTCTAAATGCTGTATGCAAGAAAAATGAACACATTGCTATGAATAACCAGATGTTTGTGAGTGGCGATTTGCAGGCTCCCTCTTTGAGCTCTGCTTTAAAGCAAGAGAAAAGTATAGTATAGGAGGCCCTGCAGGACAATCCATGCTACAGTTCTGTGATCATTTTGACAGGGTGTAATAGTCTAGCATGAATGTTACTGAGTGACTATATTTGGATGTACTTTAGGATTGATGGTGATGACATGCAGTTACTACATAATGACCTTCAGTTAGACTGTTTATGACAGGAGCTGTGAAAAAGCAGGTTGAGTGTGTCTGAACTTCAGGGCAATTGTCATTATTTAGGAGACAGTGACTTTTGAAGATGTAGCTCTGAACTTCACCCCAGAAGAGTGGGATTTGCTGAATGAATCCCAAAAGAATCTCTACAGAGATGTGATATGGGAAAAATCTATGAATATTAATGCTACAGGTAAGGATGATATTTTTGTTTATTTATATAAGCAGAAATATTTATTTCTCAGTAATATAGTTTTATATAATTGATAATTATAACATTTGCTTGTAATCTCATGCCCAATTATATTATACCATGAGTATAAGTGGAATCAGTCATGTTTTAATGTAAATTTATAGTGAATTTTGTAAAATCTCTGTCTGTAATACAGGAAGAATATGGTGTAGCCAACAAATTAAAGAAGAGGACAAAAATGGCTCAAGAAATCTAAGCTGATCGACACACAAAAGAGAAAGGGAACATTCCTTAAGTTCAGTGTTTGAGTAAACTACTACAACAAAGGTACTGGAAGCAATGAGATCGTGTTACACTTTATTTAACCTAAGAAAAATATCAAAAGAAAAACTTGATTTTATTTTGTATTATCTAGGAATCCATAGAAGAGTATTTGAATGTAGGAATCAGACATAGTGCTGATAGTATGTAATAAATGACACTGTATAACATATCAGTTTGAAAATTGCCTCCACAATCAATATCATGAAACTGTATGGGAGTAAAATTAAATATTGTATTCTGATATGTAGGAAATAAATTTTGAATTTTGTTTGAAATTCATCTTCAAATTATCCATTTATGTATATATGTGAATACTGAGACTTTCATGATCTAAACATTTTTTTACATAAAATCAGGATGTAAAATGCAAATGAATGCTACTGTTATAACAAGTATTTTGAAAATATCCTGTAGAATGTTGAGCTGTTCATGTTAAAGATTTCTCATACATTGTTCATGGATACATAAAATAAAATAGAATAGTAATCAATATTTCAGGTGTCATAAAAGTACAATAATGTTTCATATTACTCCACATATGCATCCATCCATATATACATTTTTACTTTTAATCCATGATTTTAGACTGCAGTTCAGGTTGATCTTGAACTTACTGTGTAGCCTATACAAACCTGAAACTCAGAGTGATCCTCATGCTTTTATCTCCTGACTGTTGAGAGGATTGTACTGTGTCATTATGTGCAGTGATTCAGTATATTGTGAAATACATTAAAATCATCAAACATTAGTGGTCAATCCAGTGTTTTGTTCAATGCAGCATATGAGAGGGCATTTAGAGTATCTAATATGAGAATCGACTCACAGTAACTGAGCTCTGTGAAGAGCCCAGATGCCCATCACTAGATGCCTGCATAAAGAAAATGTAGGGTCAGCTCACCATGGTGATGCATTCTTGCAGTCCCAGTATTCTGAGAGCCTGAATCATCAGGATGACAACTTGAAATTCAGCCTGAGCAAGTTCATGATCAATGAGAATCTCTATCTAAAAAACAAATATTAGATCAGCAAATGTAATTACCTAGAAGACCTGTGTTTAACTCTCTACACTGAAAAAAAATATGTTATACAAAGAAGATGATGTCATTTTTCAAGAAACAAAAGGAGTTGGACCTTAAGTGAAATAAGTCAGACAAAGAAATGCAAATATCACAGATTTTCTCTTAAATGGAAATTAAAGCATATTTGATGAGAAAAAGGAAATAGAGATAACACAAGACCAGACATCTGTACATTCTATAGATGAGAAAGATGATCTGCTAAATAGACAAGGGGGAGAATGAAGACCCAAAGAGCTAAAAAAGTGATCAATATTTGATAGTCATTTCTACCAATCTCCTAAAATAATATTATGTAGTGGAATCATACACTAAATGAAAATTTCAAAATGAAAACCATCCTCTTTAGAATGAATATTACTTTGTAAGAAGTCCTGCAGGGCAGTGAGTCAGTTAACCAGCAGAATTACTTAGCAGGCATCAAAAGAAACTTGTCATCATAAATCTGAATTGTTAATGTAGAGCTTCTTTAATTGTGATTGATATCTTTCTTTGTATTTCTTTACAGATGTGATGAAGACAATTATTTGAGAATTGAAGAGCAGCAATATAAATGTAATGAAGATGTAGAGACCTGCAGTGAGTTCCAGTCCTTTCAGAAGCATGAAATGAGAAAGACTGGAGAGAGACTCTGTCAATATGGGCAATGTGGGGAGGACAGCTCTGATCTTAGGGAATAAACTCACCCTGAGAAGAAAAATTTTTCAGGTAAGAAAAGTGTCAAAACCTACACAAAACCTAACAGTGTTCAAAACCATGGGAGAAATCACAGTTCAGGGAGCTCATATGTACAAAAATACTAAGAGAATAATTCTATGCCTTCATACTATATTGAAAAAATGCTACAAAATATGTTGGAGAGAAAAACCATATAACGGAGAAATGTGCACATGCATTATCTTGCAGCAATTCCTTTAAAAACCATAAAAAACACTGCGCTGGAAAGCAAACATGTGAACACAAGCAATGTGGGAATTGATTCAGTACATGCAGTAGCTGTCAAAGACAAAAAAGAATTCAAACTGGGGAGAAACTATATATAAGCAAAAAAAAAGTGGAACAGCATTCATGAGAACCTCAGAATGTAAAATATGATAGAACTCATACTGGGGAGAAATCATTTGTATGTAAGCAATGTGGGAAATCTTTCAATCAAAATCATAAACTTATAATACATGAAAGAATTCACACTGGGGAGAAACCCTATGTATGCAACAAATGTGGGAAAACATTTAGTAGAGCCTCTGATTTGTAAAGTACATAATAGTATTCACTCTGAGAAGAAGCCATATGTATGTAAGCGGTGTGGAAAATCTTTTAGACACAGAAGATTCTTAAGTAGACATAAAAGATTTCACAGTGTGGAGAAAACCTTGATATGCAAACAATGTGGGAAATCTTTCAGTCAAAATTGTAACTTTCTTGTACATGGAAGAATTCACACTGGTAGAAACCCTATGTATGTGAGGGGTGTGTGAAATATTTCAGTCAAAACGGTAACCTTATACACAAAAAAGTTCACCCTTTTGCAGAAAAAGAAACCCTATTTCTGCAACAAATGAGGCAAAGCATTCAGTACAACTTATTGTTTTAAAGCTCATGATAGAATTCACACTGTGGAGAAGCCATATGTATGTAAGCAGTGTGGCATATCTTTCTGTCAAAATGGTACCCTTACTCATGAAAGAACTCAGACTGCATAGAACCACAATGGATACAAACAATGTGGCAAAGAATTCAGTATGCAGAGGTGCTGAAAACAAATCTTTTTATTTACATAAGCATTTTTGGATGTCTTTCAGCTTTAGTAGTAGCTTTTGTATATATAAAAGAATTCACTCTGTACAAAAACAGTATCTATATGATGAATGAATAAATGGATGTGTTGATAAATTCTCACTTCATTAACATAAAAGATCCTTCTGGGAAGAAATCCTATGAATGGAAGTAATATAGGAAAACCAGAGCTATTGTCACTACATAAAAGAACTTCCTCTGTGTGGTAATTCTATACTTTTGAACAGTGGTGGAAAGCCTTCAGTGCACAAAAATTTCATTGAATAGAGGAAGTAGGCCCACAAGGTAAAACCCATATGTATTTAGGCAGTGTAGAAAAGATTTGCAACTGTGTTTCCTTTTGCAAACATAAGATTCCCCTCACACTGGGGAGTAACTACATGTGATAAATATTTGGTAAAAGTTCAGCTGACAGAGGAGCTAACCTTCTAAATGATATCATATTGTGTCCAAGGTCTATACATTCAATGTGGAAAGAATTCAGTATTCATGGTTATTGTCATATGTGTGAAAATAATAATAGTTAAGTGAAATCATACATATGTAATGACTATTTTGATAATACTTTGAAAATTGCTCATGTAGAGGAGACCTGTTAAAATAATATAAAATTATTGCTGTCAATATATATGCATAGATTTTTTTGAAAACACCCTCAAACATAGCATTGTCCTAAAATGTTCTTATTTCTTGTTTTATAAATCACACTTAAATATCTTTAATAAATCACATTTCTTTAGTCTTAATGAAAAATCACAATTTTAATGAAAATTTAAATACGTTGAATCATTTTTTAGCATGTTTTTGATTCATCAATGTCTTGTCTAGATGGATAACACCGACTTATCTCATGACCATTTTTCCCACCATGATCTATAACTCCTGTATCAGTTTATCAAGAAGGATCTATATGTGTGTATTCAGAAGTGTGCTTATATTTATAGCCTGTATCTATGTATTCATGCTTATGGTAAGATATACCATCACAAATGCAAAAGCAGAACCAGTCACTGACAGAAACAAGAATGAGTTTAAATTAGGGAAAAATATTTTGTACTCAAGAAATTTTGAAAAACATTCAGTACATAAACATGTTATAAAATACCTGTCTGAACTCATACTAAGGAGAAACTCAATGTTGGTGAACATTGTGGAAAACCTTCCGGTCAGTATTGTTACCTTGTCCATAAAATTGTTCACCGTTAGGAGAAAGCTTATGAAAGACTTTTGTGAAAGGTTCTGCTGATCATCCAAATTTTCTAGACATAGAAGATCCCACACAAGGAGAAATCTTCTGTATGTGAGCAATGTGGGAAATCTACCAGCCAAAGCCATAGCTTGCAAACGCATCAAAGAATTCACAGAGGGAAAACTATGTAGGTAAGCAATTTAGGAAAGCATTAAGTTCACACAGTCACTGACAAAAACAAGAAAGAACACACAATGGGGAGAATGTTTGCATGTAAGCAATGCAGCAAATGTTCCCAGCTCCAGTGATTGTAATGACATGAAAAAATTCACACAGGGAAGCAACTCCATGCATTCCAAAAATGAAGAAAAGCATTCAATGCAAAATAAGTCAACAATTAATGAAATAATACACACAGTTGAGAAAGCCCATTCATACAGTCAGTGTAAGAAGGAATTCTTGAAGATTTTTCATTTTATAAATACTAAATTTCCCACATATTGTGGAGTAACTGTGAAAAACATGTATTAAAAAAAAATTCCACTGATAGCCAGGGATTTAGCTCAACAGCATAAACACCTGCCTGGCAAATGAGAGGTCCTGAGTTCAATCCCTAGTACCAAAAAAAAAAAATCTGTTGATAGATGCTAACCTCTAAAAGGAAGTCCTATTGTGGCCACAGCCTATGTATGTGAGGTGAGCAAGTCCTTAGTAAATGTGGGTATGGTGAAGTGTGTGAAAACCAGGACTATGCAGCAAAATTACACTTATGTAAGTGACTATTTTGAAAATACTTTGTAAATTATTCATGTTGAAACCTGTAGAAATACCATAGAAAATTGATTTCAATACATATTCATAGATATTCCAGAGATCACACTTGAAAATGGAGATATCCCAAATCATATTCATTTTGTGTTTCAGTGTCACACATAAGAAGCTGATCTATTTGTCTGTAGTGTTACTTTTTTAAAACATCACACTTTTTAAAGATAATTCAAGGATTCTGAAATATTTCCCCACATTTTAGATTCATTGATACTGTCTTCATAGATGACACCTGTTTTCCACAAAAGCATTCTTTTCCACTTGGATCTGTCTCTATTTTTTCTAGAACGATCATTCAGAAGTGTCCTTCACCAGTTTTTATGACATGCATCTATGTAGGTGTGCTTATGATAAGATAATTACAAGAGCAGATTTAAAATATGTATAATTGCATTAGCTCCTGTTTCTAGCACATAATGCAAGTGTTCATCTTTGGAAGGCATCTATGTGTATAATGGGTCTGAATTCTTTATTGTTGCCTTAACATCTTCTATTTATATTTTTCCTCTATTTCTTGCTTCTCTCCATTCCTGAAAGATGTATAATCCTACTGCCTATCACACATCATGTACCTTTTTTTTCCTTTGGTACCAAAGATTGAACTGACAACTGCAAGCTTGCAAGGCAGACACTTCTGCCACTTTGGTAAATCTCCAGCCCCTACATTGTGTACTTTTATACAAATGTAAACACCATTCCTCTTATATTAAGTCAGTCATTTGTAAACAGCAGAATCCTGAATATGCAAGTGAATTGGGATGTCATACAATTCCTAAGGTTCAAGGATAATTCCGGAATACGATTGCCAGAATAGAAATAGTGAATGATGGAAATGATGTCACTTTGTGACACCAGAAAAACAGTCAGCAGTGCGCAATGAATAAGGTGATTCTCACATTGTAACATTAGATTTTTTTTGTCTGAAATGGTCTTGCTATGAAGTTCAGGTGGGCCTTGGGCTCACTTTCGTCCAGGCTGGTCTTGGGCTCACTTTGTAGTTCAGGCTGGCCTTGGGATCAATTTGTAGTCCAAGCTGAATTGAACTTGCAGCAATACTTCTGCCTTAGCCTTCTGAGCCCTGGGATTACAGGCATGCACACTCATGCCCAGGTTTTAGCATTAAGTTTACCTAGCAAAAAAATTTCAGGCAAGGAATTTCATACACCACTTTTGCCCCTCTATGTCCAGTATTTGGTGCATGGCACTGTTAACTCTCATAGTCTCCATTTAGGCACATGTTCCACAGTGGCATTTTGGCAGCATTTTATGATATTAAAATATAATTCAGAAATAAATGTTGACCAAGTCTTAATCATGTTCCATTCTCTGTAGCATTCATGAATTTAATGTCACTTGGATTCATCATGGATCTCAGTTTCCTTCATCAGAGGGCTATCATATGATGTGACAACCTGACAAGAAGGTTAAGTGCAAGGAAGGATGAGAAATGAAAAGAGACAAGAGATTCACAAGATCCTGATTTTACCGTGGTTATTATTCAAATGTCTGTAATTAGTAGCACTGTTTGTAAACACATTCATAAACAGTTAAGTGTATTCCAAAATCATAAATATATATTAAATGTAATGTGTATGTTTCACTGTGTGTAAAATATTACTCTCTAATAGAGGAAAAATACATTGAGGCAGTTATTTCTACACACTTGATTCCGAGGTAGAATATTGCTGGTAAATTCTACAATGTAATTCCTAATTTTACTCCCTTATCTTACTGTTTTATCATTTTTTAAAATAAAATGGTTCAGACATAGGCAAGGTTGTGATTTCATGTGATTTAAGCAGTCCAGGAACCTGAGGCAAGATGATTTCAACTTTTCAATTTAAGCCCAGGCTTGGCAACTTGGAAACATAGAGAAAACCTGTCTGCAAATACAAAATGGTACTGTGGAGATAGCTCAGTATAAATATGCTGAATTCCAATCTCAGTCCTGAAAACTTAAATCAGACCTTGTTTCCTGATAATGCAGTAAAACCATTGGCCTCATCTCAAACTCTGAGAAGACCTGGCCTGTTCTCACCCATCCCTCCTCGGAGTTTAAGAATCATGTCCAGAATACATAGCCTCAAATCACGGCAGTACGTTTCCACTCTACTAATAGACATAGGAGTAAATTTGCAAAAAATACAGGTAATCAATCCCAGTTCTCTAAAGACAAGAGCAACCTCATTTTAAGTGCAGTAATGCCCTTGAGAATTTCAGCAGCCCATATGTAAAACAAAAATGGCATGTATCAACTTGTTCATCAGTTCAGATTTTAGATCACTTTCCTTTTCCCTTCAGTCTCAAATATTTGGTCTTTCATTACCAGCTATTGGGTGATGCAGGAAGGCTGTGTGCTTTGTGATCTGGAAAGAGGCATAGGGAGATCAGGACATTTAATTATATGGGGTCCTCTTTTATATTTTTGCTGCCATATTTTGGACTGAGCGTTCCCTGCTGATGAAGGCCCCTAGAATTTGGGCCTGGTTGCTGGATGACTTCTGCAGACAGCAGGAATCTATGCACAAGGAAAAATCCTAGAGGCTAGGAAGTTAAGTTTGGTGCCAGGGGCTCTGAGCTGGATACAAATGGACTAGATGTTATCTGTTGAAGTTGGAGTCTTCCCATGAAACTTGTGAAGTCTGTGACATGACTTCAGTACTGGCTTCAACCTGATTCCTTCAGGCCTGTGGCATGAGGCTTGACTGGCAGTGGGGACCCCAGTGCCCTGTCCTGTTCCTGATTCAGATTCAGCAACATGCAAAGTGGAACACATTCCACAAAGTCTCCTTCAGCTCTGTGTCTTGACACTATATGGTGACTTCATTTGTATATGTGGAGTCTACAGTTCATCTGCAGTTTCTACATAGAACCATATTTATTCCTCCATCCCCAGTCAATTTTTTATCTCAAAAGTCAGTCCCGATTACCCTGCATTAACTGAATGTTTTGGCAGCAAAGAGTCCAGTTCACGAAGTGAAGAGTGAACCAAGCATTTATAAGGTAAGAATTAAATTTCCATTTTCCAGATCATATCCACATGGACATACACAATACATGATACATGTGACTGTTTTAAAGGCTGTTTCCATCTTTGACATAATTATGGCATGGAGTGCTCTTAAACCTTGTTTCACAAACATGTATCCTGACTGAGGTAGAACATGTTTCATGGAAATAATACAGAAACTTGGGGATACACTGAATGTGTACTTTACCACCATCTCAATCATAGGAAAAAAATTAGCATGAAAGAAAAACCTAATATTGTGGGCCACAGGGGATGATGGAGCACAGCGATATCAACGCCTGGACCAAGGAAGGACTCCCTGAGATCAGATTGTCATAGGTTGAAAATAAAGACTGGGCTGTGACCTACTGAGTGTGACAGAAGTTCAAAGAACATTAGACCTGAAGATGCAATGGAAATGTATGGAGAAATCTGCTGGTATTAACCCTTCAAACATTGTATTTACAAAGGTGAATTCAAACAGTTGAATTTTGGCAAGAAACAATCTGACATTTCCAACTTTCATTTGACAAATGTCTATTCATTTTAGATACCCATTTATTCATCTTTAAATTTAGGAGATCTCATTTCTATTTCATTTCTTTATGTATCCTACATATTAGTACTTTTATGATAAAATACTGGCAAAAAGTAGTTCCCTCACTATGTGTTGTCTCTTCATCCTATGACCGGCTTCTCTTCCAGTGTAAAACCTTTGTAGTAAAATGTCACAGCTGTTGATTCTTTGTTATGTTTTCTGTGCAACTGAGGTTTTGTTCATAAAGTTGGCCTCAACCAAAGTCATCAAGACTTCTTATTCTATCTTCCCACACATTTTTGATTTTACTATTTATACCTTTGATCAACTTCAATTATAGTTCAGTGCATGGTGAAATCATGGGTCTACTTTACCCTTTGGTATGTGAAAGCCAGATTTTCCAACTCCATTTATGTAGGTTTACTTCTTCTAGTTAATGTGTTTGGTTCCATTTTCAAAGATTGAATTGGCTGAGTATGCTTGTAGATATTTCTGAATATTTCAATTTGTTCCCCTGGTTCTCAGGTCATTCTCATCTTCTTCTCCAGTAGCAAGTTGTATTTTTAAATCACAGTAGCTTAGCAGCCCAATTTCAAGGCAGAGAGTGTGATGTTCCTTGTCCTGCATTTGTTCCAAGAAATGTTTCTGGTATTCTAGGTCTCTTCTGCTTCCAAATAAATTTTTAGGAAAGTTTTCTCTAAATCTGTGACATATGCTATGTAATTTTGCTGTGGATTGCATTAAATCTGTATAATAACTCTGAAAGTAGACATTTTTACAGAATTCATTCTTCCACAAGAATAAGGGATATCAACACATTTTCTGCTATCCACTTCAATCAATCTTTTAGAAAGCAATACTTTTCAAGAAGAGGTCTTTTTCTTTGTTAGATTTATTCCCATGTATGTTCTTTTCTTGTGTGGAGTTATTACCATAAATTTTTCCAGTGCCTCCTGTAAAAAATCTAAAAATTAAGAAGTGTGTTTATTATTTATTTAATGTAACATTATTATTGAATAACTGATAACTTAAAATAGTTGAAGCACTTGATTTTTGTGATTTTAGATGTTAAAGCAGGAATACATGATAATATGTCTTATTTTGATGTCCCATTCTGCTACTAGGCAAACAAGTGTCTTGGACAGGTACTATTTTGGCTCAAGTTGGAACTGTGTATTTCCCTGGCTGTCCATGTTCTGGTCTTCTCAACTAAACAATCCAATATTCATCCCAGATATAATAGCAACCTGTATTTCCATCTGTCTCTCATTGCAAGTCAATGTTTGATTTAAGAGTTTTATTAAATCTTTCCACTCTATCTCATCGGACTGAGCAAGTCATCTATATACTTTAATGCACTTAGTTTCATCTGAAAACTTTATTGGATTAAGTTTAATCTGCTTTAGATTAGTGAGAAAAAGAGACTCTTGAACTTAGATAGTTTCTTATGACATAATTATAGTTGGAGTGCAAACAAAAATTACTTCTTTTCTGAAGAAAGTTGGAACATAAGTGTATTGAGACCCTTTGTCAACTTTTCTACATTATGGTCCTTGAAATGTTAGAGAACCATGATTAATAATTCTCTGAGCATTCCATTTTGGTTCTAGAACACATGTTTTTCCTGGGAAGGTTCCAGAAATATCAAATGGCACTTGTTTTGGTACCTCATGGCTTTGTGCTTTCCAGATAAGCTCTTGTGCTATCAGGCTAAAACACTGGCCCTCAAAAGTCACTTTTTCAACATTAAAAAGTAAAACACTTTGCAGTGCTTAAGCATATATTCAAAAACATCAAGGTATCTTGATCTTGTATTCATGTTTAAAAAGAAAAAATATCAGGCATTTGTGTTAATTTCTATTTATTTTTATATCCTCAAATCATGCCTTAAGGGAATTCCACTCCAAGGAAGGTGAACACCATCCAAAATGAGCTAAGAAGATAAAATTTGACAAACCTATCTCTGCTCAAAATGATGTGTAATTTTTTTCTTCTCCAGAAATTTGTCTACTTACTCCCATATGTGTTTTCATGAGGACAAGTTAAAATTGATCTCGAAAAAAAAAAAAAAACTGTTTACAAAAGAAAGCAGTGTTTACCATAAAACTAACTCTTTCTAGGGTGATCAATTTTTTGAGTCCTCCATGCACTATATTCTTGATAGTCTTTGACTGCCAAAGAAATAGCTGGAAAAAATTGTTGCACTAAATATGTGAAATAAATAAGAAAATCTTAAATACTTCACAGTTTGTTTTATGTAAGAAAGTAAGAATATAAATATGTTAAATGGCAAAAAAGAGAGGTAAAAACAAAGATATTTTGAAAAACTAAAGGGAACTAAGAAAAGGAGAGATGTTAGAGAGATGTTAGAGTGAAACAAGAATTAAAGAGATTTAGGCACATGTGTAAGGACCTACAACAAATGCATCCATTATATAATGTAAACACTATTGATAAAAATGAATAACAACCAAAAATTTTTTAAAAGGAGGTAGAAAAATTTGAGACAGAGGAAGGTAATCACAGGAAACTTTGACAAACTCATTAAGAGGAGCCACTTGAATGCTAATGCTATTGTCTTTCAAAAAAGACCAGAACACAGCACAGGCACACACATTCCCACCACGGGGAGAGAGGTCTGCCCACTGCAACAGGAATGTCCAGGAGCTGGAGCAGGAATCAATCTGCTCACTGACCAGGAGAGCAAAGACCTAGACAGTGGGAATGACATTCATACAGCATCAGATTCTTTGTGGAGAACACAACTGCTCATGACACTCAACATTTGAAATGTTCATAAAGCAAGCATCATTAATATAAAAAGTATGATCTGAGTATATGGACAAAAATGAAAGCAAATGAAGTTAAAAAGACAACAGAGCACTCTTACATGAGCTATCAGACTCTCTTTAATGCATCTATGTTACCAGATTTACTCAGGACACTCACAACTGCTGTGGACAATGCCTGGTCTGAGGGTCTAATCACAACTCTGTTTATATAGCAAGAAGAAAGGCAAACAGGGCCTCCCTGTGCTCATGAAAATCAGCCCAGCCCTCACCCTGCAGATCTGCTGAGGAACCCAGCCCTGGATACCCAGAGGTTCCCACTCAGAGATGAGGGCTGAGCACAGACAATCACTATGGATTTGGGTCAGACTTGTGTTTTCTTGTTTGCACTTATGAAAGGTAAATTATGGACAACAAGCAATAAGGTAAGGGTA